CCCGAGCCGGAGTCGAACGGGCTCTATAATCGCTGCGGGACGCGATGCAAGTACGATCTCTCAGCAATCGAACCTAGGTAGGTAGAAGATGAACCTCAATGGCACACGACGGAAAACCTGGCACTTCGTCCTGGAGCCGGAAGTTGTGTTGTGAGAAGCACTGCCCGCTGGGCGACCCTACATTCGCCGGCTATGATTCACTGGATTCAAGGAGAGAAGAGAGACTCGGAGACACAGAAATAAATAAAACAATCCAGAGGAAATGAACAATACCGTCGGGGGGCATCGAACTCCGGGCTTCCTCAGATGCAAAGTAAACCCGCCACATTTCGAGGATGACCGTCTGCTGATCGACGACGGCTTGTTACCCTATGGACACCGCGAGTGGAGTTGGAGTTGGTTTGACGCGCGCGAGCGGAATGTGCGACGTAGACGGACGGCGGGAGGAAAGCAGAGAGGAGAGAAGACCCGGCGCGCCCGGCATGCAGGGCGCAGCCCTGGGATAGCACACGGCGACCCGACAGTCAAGGCGCTGGGCAGGAGTGGGCGCGGCGCAAAGTGGCGTGCCCGGCGGGCGGAACGGGAGCTGCGCCGCACGCACAGGAAGCAGGCGCGCTGCGAAAGCGCGCGGCGACCCGAGAGGAACGAGGCGAGAGTGTACAAGTACCAGATGCGGAACGCATGTGGCGCGGACTGGCATGCACGCCGAGCGGCCGGGGAGCTGCTGAGCATGCTCTACAAACGGCGCGCTCAGGAGGCAAGGGCGACGAGACAGAGAACGCGCAAGCTAGCGGCGCCGCTAGCAGAAGAGGCGGGCGGCGAGTCCAGGCACATTAAGGACCCATGTTTCTGAGTAGGTGCGTTCATATATATTTCATTGGGCTGTGCCAGCCCCCAGGAATGGGCTTAATCGACCGGACGAGACGTGGCGTGCGGGTCTTGACCTAGCACAGCGCCCAGCGCACATCGGCGCCCAACACGACGCGCTGAAGGAAGCGCCGCCGCGGGAAAGCCCGCGATGCCGCGAGAAGATCTCTTGAGCATGTTAGGGATGCTGCATTGGACTGGCAGCGCGCGAGGAGCCGGTGAACGAGATGGAGCTGGGCTCGGCTTGATCCGGACACTTCCCACGTTGGTGATGAATCATTGAATGACGCCGGGGTGATGTGTCAGATTTATTCGATTCGCACAGTTCGCGTTTGGCTTGATCCTGCTACGGGTAGAATTGGAAGAAATTAGACTCCTGGCGCTGGAAGAGGAAGTCATCGCGCGAACCATTCGCGAAGCCCATCATTCCCTGAAGGCAACCAAAAACGACAAGCACTTACGATCCAAGCCCGAATCGAACGGGCGTCTCCTGCACGTAACGCATTCAGCTGCTATGCGACGCAGGTGCGGGCCTCTCCGCGATTGGACCTGAATATCGGAGGGTTGAACCTGGATAGATGGAAGAGCAGTAGGCACAAAAGACGGACCTAGATAAGAGTTTGTGTAAGTGTAGCGTTGACTCGGGGGGGATTGGCATGCTTGTGAGGGACAGCTCAGCCGAAACTAGTCTGCATGGATGGGGAAAATGGCAGCGGCCCGAAAATCTGCGCAAAACATCGAAATCACACCTTCATGATGGTCCAAGCCCGAGTCGAACGGGCGTCTCCTGCACGTACAGTCCCTTCTGGTCCAAATCACGCGAAGCAGGTGCGGGCCGTTCTGCAATTGGACCTTACCATACAGTAGCTCAGTAAAGCCTTGATACACGGAAAGTTTCCGTGCTGTGCTGCGATTCTAGTAAAAGATAAGACGGCGGATAGCGTATGAGGGATGTGGAACCTCAGGTAGAACGAAACACAAACCAGCACGCAAAACAGCCCGAGTCGGAGGAAATTCCGCTCCGAAATTGGACCTCAAGACTACGACGTGGATAAATCAGTTAATGGCACCCAGAGTAAGTAACGATGGAATGGATGCACCTTCGATTTGAGCCTGAAGGTGGCGGGACAGAGAGGCCGATTTAAATTAATGCAAAAGCCAGAGATGGAAAAAACGCGTCTGGTTCACGATCACGGTCCAAGCCCAAATCGAACGAGCGTCGCCTGCATGTGTATTGTACTTTGGGATCTCAAGTATTCAATGCAGGTGCGGGCCACTCCGCAATTGGACCTTCCTACTGTCGAAATGAACCTGGTTAGATTGGGGACATTTTCACAGTATTTGACGGCGGACGCTGTTTGCTAATTCGTCCCACAGCGAGCGGTGATCAGATCCTTTGGCCATGTCATGCCAAATTGACATGGAACCCACCTCAAAAATGGTGGACACGGTCGGGTTAGGCCGAATTGAGGGAGGCGCAGACGATGGATGCAGAAGAACGGGGGGAAAAAAGTATCCGGTCGCCAGCATATGGTCCAAGCCCGAATCGAACGGGCGTCGTCTGCATGTTCATCCACTGAGGGTTCTGTGAACGGGAAGCAGGTGCGGGCCACTCCGCAATTGGGCCTTACGCGTGCTGAGTAGACCCTGAATAGGTTGATTAATTTTAAGATAAACACGCACACATAGCTTGGTCTTGGCTCCTTCCCTGGGTCAATTTACTCAGGTGGCGCGTCGGCGAGCACACCTGTGGAGTGATTGTAATTTCATCTTGGAATGGGCATTAGCGGGGGAATATCATGAAGCTTCATAGGTGGGTACTTGCACTGAAGGAAGCCAATCATCGAGCGCCCGAAACACAGCGAGAGGAAACGAAAGAAGCGGAAGTGTCAGCGCAGAGAACCCCGTCGACGGCTCTATACGAGTCAAGTCAGAGACGAGTACACCGAGAAAGAAAATGGATGCTCGAACCGGATCTGCAAGCCGCCGTGGGGAATCGAACCCCTGTCATCCTCAGGTGTATAAGGAGCTAGAGCCCACGTTTCGGGGATGACTATCCACTGCTCGACGACGGCTCTGTACCCTGTAAGCCAACCGAGGCAACTAAGTGAATAGTGGGAGCGAAAAAGTAGACTCGACCGACACAGCGTACGCCGTCGAGGGGAACCGAACCCCCGTCTTCCTCGGATGCCTATAGCGCAAACACATTTCGAGGATGACCTGCCACTGGTCGACGCCGGTTTGTTACCCCGTGAACCCCTGAGTACAGTATTTGAGTGTGGGATCCGGTGCACGCGCCGCAGGGGAGTGTGCGAGAGGAATGAGACAAGGACTCAACATGTCCCTCCACAACAACGGCGGACGGGCGCATCAACGGGGAGGCAGCGCGCAGGGGGGCCGCACAGCACCAGAGGGTCAAGGCGCACCGAGAGAGCACACCGAGGTCAGGAATGCACGCAGCCGCGGAGAGGGATGCACGGCAGGCGGAAGGGGAGCCGCGGCGAGCACATTCCTGAGCACCATGCGCCGGAAGCACACGAGACGAAGTGCGAGAGCGTATAGGTAGGAGATGTGGCGCGAACTGGAGTGCATGCCGGGCGGCAGGGGAGCTACTGCGAATGCGGCAGGAATGCATGCCACGTCGAGGCGTGCCGGAGGGAGGACGGTGACCCTATGAGAGAGAACACGGGCAAATCAGGGGCACCGGCGAAAAAAATGAGTGGGCGGAGAATGCACATCAGCTAATCCAGGGACGCCAGCTGGTGCAGTTAGCACACCCAAATACAATACAGAACGAACATCATGAACCGTGAGGGTGAAGAAGTGACGCGGACGGGCGCCTGACGTAGTACAGCGCCCAGCGTCCATCCCACTTGATCCTCGCCGCCGAAGGACTCACGAGAAAAGCGCCGCGAGTGCGTCACGTTTATCCCGGGCCACTTAGGTTCCAGGCCCCGGAATGTGCGAGACGGGCGGCGCGCGCCTCGGAAGGACGGTGGTGAGTGGGAAGCAACCGTGACGCACACCCGCCGACTACGGAGGGCCGAACCGCAGTGAGTGAGCGGGTGCATGGTCGCTTGGAGGTGTGGGTAGGGAGGATCAGGTGTGGAAATCTGAGGGCGTCCAGGCGGAAATTGATCGATACGAGCACGGAAAATACGCGCACGGAGAAAAGAAAAATCATGCCCTCTGAAGGGCCCCAGCCCGGGCGTCGCTTGCACACAGTGGATTTGTGAACGTTGGAAGGCCAGTGAAGGAGGCCACACGTATCGTAGATTAGAAGCTCTGGGGCCGCAATTGCATGAAGAACTCGCACGCTGATTGCTGCTGTGTTGGATTCGACGTTGATCGAACAGTTAATTATTCCGGCGACGACTCCAAAGAATGATAGAGAGAATGGGTGAAGATGACTTCCGGGAGGCGAAGATGATGGATGTAGAAGAACGAGAAAAAAAAGTATTCGGTCGCCAGCATATGGTCCAAGCCCGAATCGAACGGGCGTCGTCTGCATGTCCATCATTACTGCTCTTGTAACGGGAAGCAGGTGCGGCCCGCTCCGCAATTAGACCTTCCGAGTGCTGAAAAGAGATTGACTAAATGGATAATTTCAAGATGGCTGTGAACACGTACTTAACTTGATTATTTCATTAACTGAGTGCAATATGCTCGGAACCTTCCTTGGGTGAGGCTTAGCGGGGAATGTGCTAGATGGATGGATGGCCAACCCAGGGTCGGCGAACAGATCTTGATTATCTGCGGATAGCAAAGGCAAGATTGAAGCATACTACCACTGATCCATGGCGCCGAGCATGAAAAATACCGATGAGGAAAAAGACGGTGCAGCTCTGGAATGGCCCAAGCCCGAGTCGAACGGGATCTGCGATTAATACCGTGGTGGGACGTAACGCAGTACGACCTCTCAGCAATTGGCCGTGGGGAGTTTGCACATGACCATCGGTTTATGAGCAAATTTGAGGAGATGCGTTACCAAACGACGGACATTAGACCTGGCGCGGGAAGTTCCATCCAGAGGACCAATATCCGGCGGTCGACGACAGCTTCGCGAGAGTCCTGGGACTCAGGTGGAAGCGAAAGACACAGTTGAAGAGAAAAAGAAATGGCGGCACCGTGTATACCGTCGGGGGGAATCGAACCGCCGTCTTCCTCGGATGAACAAAGATCAGGACAAACCAGTTTTCGAGGATGACCTTCCACTGGTCGACGACGGCTTGTTCCCCTGTGGATACCTTCAGTGAAGGGCGTCAGTATCGGACCGGGTGGACACAGGAGGGGGATGCGCAAGGCAGAGTGGGACGGCGGGATGAGACGCGGGGAAAACGGCGAGCGGCCCGCGACGAGGGGATGGATGTACGGCAACGAATCGCGCAGGGAGAGGGCGCGGGATGGGGCGAGATCGTGCGCGGCGCAAATGCTGGCCGCACGTGCACGCGGTACGGAGTGGCGTGCACGGAGGAGCCGCGGAGAGCGTGGCAGCAATACATTCCTAAGCGCCGCGCAGAACGCAGGCGCGCAGCGAGTGTGCGTGGCGCCCGGAGAGCCAAGGCATCGGGCGCGACAGTCCCCGGCGCGTGGGGGGAGCGATCGCGTGCGCAAGATGGCGGACAACAGCTAGTCTGCAGCCAGTGGTGCATCAATGGAGGCACGCATCCAGCAACATGGGATGCGCCATCGACCACGATGAGGGCTAAGATGTGAAGCGTATGGACCGTGACGTCGCCGACAGCGAGCGTTCATCCCCGTGCGTCCTCGCCCAAGTGATAGCGCTCGACACGCTGGTGCTTTCCTTCAGGGAGCCGCCGCGGGTGCGTGACTGTCGAAGCGCCCTCGCTCTGGGGGAGAAACTCAGGAGCGCGTTCGAGGGCTAGTTTCAGGCGCAAGGAGGTTGGATACACAGGACCGGCGGCGCGCGACGAGACGCAGACGAGATGGTGGGTGGAGGAGCTTCGGCTTGATCCGCACGCATTTCCACGTGGGTGATGGATGACGCAGGAGCGATATGTCAGAGATCTTGGTTGATTTTATGATTCAGGTTGCGTATGCGGGCGACGTCTCCGACCCTGGAGGCGCCCCAGCGAGAAGCAGGACTATAAATTGCAACCCTTCTCTAGAATAAAAGACCTGCGTAACACCCCGGCCGTTCCGGAAATGTGCCCTACCAGTGGCAGATGGGCTTGATCCTGCTGGGCCTAAAGTTGAGGGAAATTACTGAGATATAGGCGGAACCAAAAAGTCGAGAATCTACTTCCGGTTGTATTCCCAAAATATATCTGCCAACTACGCACGGACCAAGCCCAAATCGAATGGGCACCGCGTGCTGGGGGGTTTATACCCAAGATATACGTCGCAGGTTGGGGCCACTCCGCAACTGGAGCTGGATACTCTGCACGAGACCCTGAATGGATGGGTGCGTTTATTTGGGAGACAAAAAAGGACTGCGAATCCCACTTGAACAATGACGAGCTGCGCAAATTTGAACAGTGGAGAGTGGACGTGCCCGAACCGAACGGGCGTCTCTTGCGACAGGAGTCTTCCAAACTCACGTCGCAGGTGCGGGTCCCTTGACAATCAGCCCTGCATATGGGGCGACAGAACCTGGTTCGCTGGAAATTTCAATTCGAGATACGTCCCACCAAGAAGGGTGCATTGATGCAAAATCAATACTTGACCCGGATCTTCGCAGCTCGGAAGGAGACCGAGATTTCACCCTTCCAATTTCGTCCTCTCGCCAATTGCCTACGCTCTGCCGCTATCATTGCCGGGAGGGACAATTGCAAGTCTCCTCTCGCAGTCAGAGTCGTTCTCCCGTGTAATCAATTCCTTGCTCCCCCTATTCTGGTTGATCCACGGACATCAAACCTCAAATATACTTCACTGTGCCAAGAGCCCCTCTCAGATGCAGGTAGGTACGGCAATTGTTCGACTGTAGACTGCAGAAGTCAGACTTCTCTTGTCTTCTTCATTTTCTATATACTCAGCCTCGACGTCATGTCGGACAGGGCGTACCGTGTACATCGCACCCGCCCTTGCCATTCTCGGACGCGTTGAATTCGCACTCAAGCTGACGTACGCACGCGTGCTTCAACCTCAACCACTGTCTGTTCAGTGTTCTGTGCCCCTCGAGGCCGGATCCTCATCACGTGCTCCCTCACCCTCCATATCAACCGTTATATCTGACCTTCCATTTAAGTCCACTTTGATGCCTTCTTGCCCTACTTCGTATTCGGACCGGCGCGTGGATTTAATTTATGTATCGCCACATGCTCCAGGGTATTTATCAGCTCACGATCCCAGGTACTCGCACTGCACGGCGCTCTTGATATCCGTATAGTTCACCGCCGACCTCCATACCTTTATCATATGCCGCGGCCTCCTGTTTTGTAAACAATTTCACAACCCACTGCCAGGTGACTCTACTTTCAACTTGAACTTGGGACCTGCAGGTATATTAGCCAGAGTGCTCGGTGTGCCCCTTTGCCTCGTGTAGTTTACTTCGGCTTCACTCATTATGATTCACGAGTGAGTTATTTCAGTCCCCAAGTCCGTATGTACGTGGATGGCATCAATCAAACTTCGAGTACATGCAGTGCGTATGCTTGCCCGGGTTTGTATTGATGACTGCGCTCGGAGCACACCTTGTGCAGGAGAGGTGTCTCGCAAATACACACGCCTGTCCGCGGCCCTTCGCACGTTCGCCCGTGCTCATGGGCGAAACATGGCATGCAGGGGCATGCTGGCCGTCTGCATCCATCTCCACCTCTAACCCTCCGACCGTTGTGGATCGTGGAGCCCTCCCACACACACAGTGGGAGTTAATCGACACCTGAGTCAAACCCGGGTCTAACAGTTGAGTATTCAATGTGTGGAGATTTCTGTACGATCATACGGCCTGGCCGAGACATAGAACCTCTTGAATTGCCTAAAACTCCAGCTGGAATGCACAATATTCAACATGACATTACCTGCGGAGTTCTCACCAAACCCGCCAAACGAGAACCATGCTGCCGGGTGTCTCTTACCATCTTATAAACCTACATTGATGTATCAATACAAACTACATGCTGTCGAAATTGAGTTTACAGCTCGCCAGAGGTTCAATGGTGGGCCTTGTGTTGCTGGCCCATATCGAATTCGCATTGGAGGCAGACCCGACTTCCCCTCTTATTTAAATAAATAGATTCATATTTCAATCAAGACCGCTACACAAGGAGCAAGCGAAATCAAACTACAGAGTCTATTCAACTCAAACCACCATAACAAGCTTGTCCTTAGCCCCCTCTCCTCCTTCAACTTCCCTCTCCTCAGCCTGTGTTCCCGGGTGAATTTCATCGGCCACCGCTGCGATGGGTGAATTGAGCTGTCCGAGACACATCAAACTGTCCGTGGGCTCCTCCAGCATATTGCTGGTGATTGCAGCGAGCCTCTCATCAATCTGGGCAACTTGCTTCGCCTGGGATGAGCGTTCAAACAACGGCCTCGCAGTCTTCCAATGCTCAATTGCCTTGGACACTTCCCTATGACCCTTTGCCAGATCCCCCAGGCAGAGCATGCATTCAGCTCTGCTGTGATGAATATTCATCCAGGTGAATCCCTCCAAAGCGATGGTAAAAAGACTGGTTGAAGTGGCACTGTCCCCTTCAGCTTGAAACACATCTCCAAGGAACTGGAGTGCTCGATGAAGGGCAATTTTCTCCCCCAATTTCTTTGCATATCCCAGATATACAATTGACCAACCAGAGGCCCAGTGAAAATCACTTTTGGGCCAGCCTTTGATGTTGGCAAAGCTCTCCATGCACGAGATTTTGCCTTGAACACAATCTCCCCATGTTGAATTAAAACAAGTCTGGAGTATGCCCTTTGCAGTGAGGATTTCTCCCTCTCTGAGATGCAGTTTTCCTAATTCAATATTACAGTATATCTTTGCAGACATTACATTGTAATTTCCATATCTGTAGGCATCAAACAGTGCCATTGCTTTGTCAAGGTTGGACAAGACATCCTGTTTAGATGCACCAATTATGATGTCAAGTTGTGCAATGTTAAGGAGAGTCCAGGCATAGTCATACGACTCTTCAGCAGCATCTGGGGCAAGTAGTGTGTAGATATTGCGGGCCTCTGCATACTCCGATCTGAAGAGATGGGCTTCTGCCAGCTCTTTCGACAGATTTATAGATAACCAGCCAGTAGTTACACCACCAAGCTCCAGTAGCTTCCTTGCCCTCTGATAGAGGAAGATACTACTTTGAATGTTGCCACACCTTCGGTAACATAAGGCTGAAGTGCGGAGGGCCAGTGATTGATGATTTAAATCTCCTGCTAGCTCGGCAAGTCGGTGTGAAGCTTGGGCATGCTTCTGAGCAGCAACATAATCCCCAATGGACCATTTTATTAGACCCAGATGATTCAATACCAGTGCTTCCCTGATGTCTCCATGAGATTTAGCCAAATCAAGTGCCTTGTGGAGATATTTCAGGGCAACAGCCATTTTTCTTTCAGTATAGAAGTAGTAAAGTCCTATTGCACAGTAAAATCTGCCTAAAAGGTCTTTTGATTGAGCCACTATCAATCAAAACTATACAAGGGACTCACATTCGAGGGCTGGGTCATTGAATTGGTGGAAGTGAGAGATGGCCTGTGTAATCAACATATCTGCATTGGTAGCAAGACATAGGCTCCTTGTCTCAAATTTCCATAAGATGAGCTGTGCCCTGAACTTTTCATCACAATTCCCAGGAAGAACAGCTTCAATCTGATCCATTAGCATAGCAATTCGATGATAATACCCAGAATCCACGTTACGCGTGAAAACACTCATAGAAAGAGTGCAATCAATGGTTTCTGCCAAGTTTGGGTTATCCTGGTTCAAACCTCGGAGCAGCAATTCACCCATATTTCTAACATTCAATGTTAGGTGCTTGACTCTTCCAGCCCCCTGCTGAGTTCTAGGATACTGCTGGTACAGATCCAAAAGGTGATGAAAGTATTTTTGCAGGGGGTGAATTAGAAGTGGGGACGGAGGATAGAAACACTGGATGTGTTCCCGGATAGGCACCAGTGACTTCAGTCGCCTCTTGTCATCCATATATGCCAGAGAAGTAGCAAGAAGTGTAGCTTTGCATGTCATGATATCATTTACAGAGAGTTTACTCTGGACAAGCTCAACATCAGACAGCCCATCTGGCAGAATTGAGAGTAGACGTAATAGGTCCTT